TCAAACCATCAATTCGTTGTTGCATTAAAATTATCTGCGTGATTTTTGTCGTAAGGAAATAGCGTGCAATTGCGGTTATCTATGAAATCTTTATTGCCAATTATTTTCAAATTTAGCAGTCAATATTTTAATGATTGTTTTCGATTATCATGATTTTAATAATTAATTTAGGGGTTACATGGGTTTCCTCGGTTAAAAAAAGACATTTTAAAAAATATTTTCTAATATTCTCATAAAAAAATAAATATTTTGTTAACATTTTTTTATTGTTACAAATAGACATTAGTAACTAAGAAATTCTGAAACTTTTGGAAAATAATACTTTAAGCTCGGCCATTGCGACGCCATTTCCCGTGACTCCACAGAAAAACGATGCGCCCTCGTTGGCAGCATAGCCCCTCATAGGATCATGTAAAGTGAAACAAGTAAGGAAGGGCTAATTCCGGGTGTCACCGAACATTTTATACTCTCTCATCAAATACCGTATTTGTGTAAAGTTTTATACCGCTATCATCATTGGTTCCTAATGTATATATTATACAGAGAAGGCATCAGATGAAATTCAAAATAGCGTTATATTAGAAGAAGGCGTGGTTGTGAACCGATTTCACCCCTATTTCGTACATGTCATCAGGGTGTTAAGAAACTATTATGTACCGAATTTCAATGAAATAAGTGGGCGACGCCACGCCCATTTTCAATTTTTAAAGAAAGCCTAGGTGCAGCTTCTTTCTGATATTTCTTMCGTAAAATTTAGTGTTTTTGACGTTTTTTGTTAGTCGGTTAACGCACTTTTAGTGATTTTCAACATAACCTTTGTACGGGAGGTGGGCGTGGTTATTACCCGATTTCTTCCGTTTTATATCTGTATATGGAAATGCCTTACGGAAATGACTGTATAGAGTTTGGTTTACATAGCTATAGTAGTTTCGGAGATATGTAGATAAAACTTAGTAGAGGGAGGGGCCACGCTCACTTTTCCAAACAAATTACGTCAAATACGTGTACCAAGTTTCATCATG